TCTTTGACTTTTTATTGGTCAATTGAAATGTTTAAAGATTTTTTTCTTTCTTATATAAATCGTTTCTTCAACATTTGCATCTGCTATGTTTAAATTCACCAATACTTTGTATGGATCAATTTCAAATCATGTTCTGTGACATGAAAAACATGAAGGAAGAGAAACAAACAAACAAATGTATAAAAGCAAGAGAAAGCCAACAATCCCCCAGAGGCACATACTGATGAGTCAGATTAAACTGAGTGAGTGCTTATAAATCACGTATTGCGAGTGTTTCTATTGAGTTGATAGGATTGCTGCTGATGTGTAGAATTCACTGGAAACATCTCTGCAGATTTTTAGGCTGAGAAAGTTCTTACAAATGAGTGTAACTGAAGACATTTGGATTTGAAGTGGACACAAATTTTAATGTTCTTTTTTTTTTTTACCTGAAACACCTGTTGTCAAAACGATCTCTACACACTTAACAGCTTTTGTGGAGCGTTCACTAACTGTGTATCAGGTGCACAAGAAGCCTTCATTAAGCAGGATGTAACTAAGCTTTGAGCTCAATCGTCATGGTCAAACTGACGGGAATGTTTTTGGAGTTTTGAAGGTTTTTGATGCAAAAAGATCCCTAAAGTTCAAACAATTCATTTTGCACATACCATGAATTTTTAAACAGTTTTTGGAAATTTGTTTCCCCCTTACACAATGAGAAATGAATTCAGCATATGCATTATTTCAGTTTTCATTAAAGATCTTGAGTTCTTGCAAGCACGAGACACACTTCTCCAAACATGGAGACATGTGGCTAGCTCTGCTAACGCTGCAATTTTGAACTTCTAGACAAACTAAAATCGGTCCAGGTCCATAATAACAGAGTGAAAGCTGTTCTTTCATGAGACACGTAGAGTCACATGTTTTTTGTTTTCTTTTCTTTTTCAAAGAGGAAATAAAAAGCTTTGTGAAGCTGTGGCCATATGTGGCAATATTTCCATGATACACGTTTATGCAGTGCTTTTCTACTGTTTCTGAGAACTCGAAAAACATTTATAAAAGCTCTTTATCTATGATACACACTCCTTCATATTTGCAAATCACTTTGACATGAGCCAAGAAACCTGGATCAAATCACCAGCTGGTAGTTAACCCGCTCTACTTCTATTTCTGGATGTCAGAAAACATCTTAACCAAGATAGAACTGAAAACTCACAGGTTCTTAAAAACTCAGCAAGAGAAACTGGTCCCAAAGTGACATTTCTTTGAACCAAACCTGAGGCAAAATGTGTGAATAATTCCCTGTTTCTACAGCCAGGATGCCCCAACCCTAGCCCAGTCAAAAACAATGTTGAAGAATACTTTCTTTAATGCATTTTACACAATAACAGAGTTTTTAGGTTTACACTTTAACCTAACACACAAAAAAAAATCAACATCAGGAGGGGACAAATTCTTTGGAGCTTGCAGCAAAAAGGACATGTGGTGTCTGACCTGTGGAGCTATCCTATCATGGTCTGATGATGCAACATGACTATTTGGACAATGTTAGGCCAATCTCACCTGATTTTTTATTTCAGCTGCATACATAGTCACCATTTAGTAAACAACTGTTAACCTACCACAGTCCAGATTTTTTATTTTTTATTTTTTTTAAATCTGCAATCTTAGTTCTCAACCTTAATTAAGATTAAAAATAATAATAATAATAATAATAAACCAGTAATTTATCAACTGTGGATGATTCAGATCTATGTCAGCTAAAATATCTTAGATATAAAATATAACAGCAAGCGTCCTCCACTGTATAATGTGTTTTCATTTAGAATATTGTTCATGGACAATAGATGCATCTCTTAATATGTTATGTTTTCATAATACTATTCAGAATACCTCACATTTTTTTCTAAACAAATAATCATTTTAAACTTCCAAACACCTTTTTAAAAGCCTGTTCATCCACCACACGTCCAAAATGAGTAGAGAAATACAGAGTCTCCTGACTGCTGTATCTCTTAAATTTCAGTATGGTCTCATTTACGGAGTCCCCCGTGTCTCCAATGGTCATGACATCTGACACCGGCAGGTACATATCGTGGCGCTTTCCCCAGAAAGTGAGGTGGGACACTTTGAGGGTGGTCTGAGACGGATCCAGATACATCATTCCCACCACCCTTCTGAAGAAGTAACTGGCAGTATACAGCATAGCACCAGCAAACAGAGCTATCCCTGTCGTGTAGCTGACAAGAAAGGTGGAGGCAGCTCCCTGAAAGTAGAGGACGTACACCGGGGGCAAGATGACCACAGTTATTGCAGTTTGGAGGAGTTTGAGCCTGGACACAGCTCTAAGGAGCTTAATGTATGGCAGGGTGTAAATCATAGTGTACTTCTCTGTGGACACATCCGAGTATTTAACAAGGGCTGTGATTTTGGGGATAACAGGTCCATGTAGGTGTTGCTGAATTGGCCTGAGACTTGGTGAACAAGGCTGCAAACTGTAAGGTGTTCGAGCTGCGAGCAGACTTGATCCTCTGGTGAAGGACAGGACGTGGGGAGTTAATCTGCACCGGAGAAGTGACCTGATCTGTAGAAAGATAAATGACATCAAACAGATAAATGCAACATGACATGTTTGGAGACAAAACTGTTATTATGTTGATGATATAGAATATAGAATATTTGATTTGCTAACATCTATGAGAACAAACTGACTACACCACTTAATAAAATAACTCCTGGATCAGCCAACTGATGCATCAAAAATTAACTTTAACACAAACCAAGACAAAACGCACACAAACACCTTAGACTAGATCCCCGTTAACAAAATAACTTTAAAAAATAAGTTAAAAAAAACTGCAAATTCTCTGTCAGTATTTCCTAACATAGTTCATCAATACTGTACATATGGTCTTTAACAATAAAGCTGACTTTGATCTTGCAAACCTTCCCCGTCACTCTTGCTGCTATCCTCCCGTCATATATCACCTCTGGCCTTCATCTCCACCCTGTCTGTACTCTCTACTTCACTTATTTTGTGCACTGTACGTTGTTATTGCAGTAATATACAAAATATAATATTATGCAGTTGCTTAAAAAATACAAGTGGTATACCCAGACGAACACTTGCAGTATATGTACAGCAGCTGTTGTGTAGCCGCTGTGTGGAATAAAACAACCTGAAGGTGCACATGTCTTGACTGAGCTGTCACCAATGACTGTAGAAAACACACAGTCCTGGCACAGCACTAATGACCTTCTGTGGCTAAAAATTAATCTTACTGATAATAAAAGTCAATGCTGGATAAGAGTTTGGATATAAAACGAGGCTTACCATGATCAGAGACCGGCTAAATGAAAGAAAAAGAAAGATGCAGAAACAAGAAAGATGGATCACCAAATGATATGAATGGGAGCTAACAGGAAGCAGTTATGCGGTGTAACCCGGATGTGCTCCCCTTCAACGTCTCGGGTTTTTTTTGTTAATGTTTATTTAACTTTTTTTTTTTTGTTGTTCCGAGACATCCTGTGAGAAAGCTGTCAATCATCGCTCTGTGACAGCTCAGTAAGAATAATAATTACAATTTTATTATAATTTTGAATACATCAAATTCATTTTGAGGATGTTAGCTTAAATGCGGAAGCATCCACCGGGAAGCGTAAATCAGCAGTTCTCTTCGAGTCACGGACTGGGGACTGTCTCTCGGTAATGAGTGTTTTATCGCCGGGCAAAACATGTTCTTATCTCATTTAGGTCGTTTAAAGAAACTAAAATTAGGACAGTAAACGCCCCACACCTTAAATGCGGAACATTTCCTGCCAGGTGCTATTTTCTGCTGTGGGACAGGTGGAGAAGACAAAAAGAGGACAACGATGCTCCAGCTAGGAGATGAAGCCACGCTGTACTCCCTTATCTTCGTGGGGATCCTGCTGGGGACCCGAAGCCCGGTGTGGACAGTGATCATCACCGCCTCCCTCTATCTCTTTCTAGCAATGTTCCGCTTCCCACAGGTACCGTCCAGCCGAACCCAGAAGGTACTCCACCCAGTCAAGGGCACGGCGGGCACGGGCAAGGTGTCGGTGATCGCTCACCGGGGCGGCGGGCACGATGCACCGGAGAACACGATAGCATCTATCTTAGAGGTGAGAGAATGAGGTGGGGAGGGTTTTGGAGCGATTATCCTTCATTTGCCCTTTTTTGTTATGGCCGTGGTTGCAAGGGGAACTACTGCGACGTCTTTAACTTCTGGTATTCACGCCCAGTTTGTATCTGGACAACTTACCAGCACAGAGAACATGCATTTTAAGGCCACCACTCTTCCAGCAGCACCTTGTATCACAATGTTATCAGCCAGTTCCCAACTAGCCAGCCTCGTTTAACTAATCTGCATGTTGAGATAAAGTAAAGATATGTGAGTAATAATTAATCTAATAGCATCTGGATATGAGTAGTCCCATGTATTGGTTTTAATTTATACAAATAAAGATACCGAATACAGACCACATGCTTATATCAGGTGTATATGAGGTGCGAGTGTTCTGAGCCAGAAATTTGCAAGTCAAAAATTCACCTGCTAGTGCTTTTTAGTGTACAGACTTTGTTGCAATGGTGTACACTTTCGAAGAGTATTTCTTAACTGTGATATACCCCCATTTATAGGTCAACACATAGAGAACAGATATACTCAGTTTGCTAGTCAAGTAAAATTTTCTTCAGATGGATCATGGCTTTATGGCTAATTTTGTTGTATAGTAGTTGCAAATTAAGCTGCAAAGTTCATAAGGAAGGTAGGAATGACTTTTGGGTTTTAGGGCAGATTTGTGATCACCAACTCCATCTGAAAAAACATCAAGTGCTGAAAAATTGTCTGTTCTGTTGTAGGCCAGTAAGAATGGGGCGACTGGTGTGGAATTGGACCTGGAGTTCTCAGCAGATGGCGTCCCAATACTGATGCATGATGAGACCGTGGACCGAACCACCAGTGGGTCAGGATTCCTCAGCAAGATGAAAATGTCAGAGCTGGCTAAACTGGATGCAGCTGCTAAACATCGACTCAGGTAAGAAAGAAGCATATAGTCAGGAAGGCGCAAACAAAGCACACGGTAGTGAGGTGCTTTAATGTGATACAGGTTCTTCCACACTAATATACTAGCAGGTTTAAACATCCACTGAAATAAGGTAATTTTCCCCTCGAAGGGAGGACGTATGTAATCCGCTCAGTTTGTCTGTTTGTTAGCGGTCTAGCGTACACAGAAGCCACAACACAAGATTTAATTTTTAATTTTATTTTGATCAATTTGAGGTTACAAGGTTACACCAAATGTGAAATTCAGTAAAAACTTTGTTATCCACAATTTATAATCTGTCTTTAAACTTTAAAGCAATATACAAGGCATTGTTAGAAATGAGTACCTAGGTGGTCGAGCATTTCACCTTGGCCTTCACTGCGCATGGAGTTTTTCAATGTGACGCCATATGATGTCACAATGACTGCATAAAGTTTTGCAAAATCACACACTGGATGATTATATCTTATCTTAAAGTTGTTACAGCTTATCAATGCCAAAGCTTTCAGCCAGTTCTGCTCCAATCATATGGGTAAAGATAACAAAATACACAGATTCTAGTATGTAATGTTTCAAGGTCAAAAGTCAGGGTCACACAAATAAGAAAATATTTCAGTTTCTACTGGATCATATCCAACGTTTAAAGTAATATATTAGTCACTGGGGGGCGTATGCATTTTTTAAACTTTAACTTAAATGACTTTACAATAACACAGAAATATAAAAATTATATACTACACTAGACTTCCATATTAACAATGCTCACTATTCCAACCAATTTGTGCACTGTACCACTGGCAGCAAAACACCCCCGGAGCATGATGCTACCTACCACCATGCTTGACAGTTAGTACAGTGTTCTTAGGTTTGAAAGCTTCTCCGTCACTCCTACAAACACATCTCTTGGCATTGTAACCAAAGAGCTCAATCTTTGTCTAATCAGACCATAAAACTTTTGTTTTGAAGGCTTTTGGTTTATCCACGTGGACAGCTGCAAATTGCAGTTGAGCTTGAAGGTGTCAATTTTGGAGCAGTGTCTTCTTTCTTAGTCAGCTCCCTCTCAGTCTATGCTTCACTGTGACACTGGTATTCCAGCAGTTTCCAGTTCATGACAGGTTTGAGCCTCAGTGGTTCCTGGGTTATTTCCTCTCATCTAAGATGGACTGTGTGTGTCTTTGTCCAGACCTTGGCAAAGTGGTTATACATCTGAATAATTCATGCTTATGTATAACCGTTTTAAACGAATAATTGCAGACTCTTAACAAGAAGTTCATAGGTTTTTGCTTACACAAACCCCAAATTAACCCATTTACACACGTGTTCAAATAATACTTTCTCTATGACAGTTTGATTGTGCTGTGCTAGATAAACACTATTTTGCCCGAGGACGGCATGTAGATTGGATGTGCCAAGGATCAAATATCTGACTGAAAGATATAGCCCAGGGAAATATCGGAGCAGGTAAACGGCAGAGAACCGGAAACTTATGCTAGATGAGAGTGAACAAGTATATAAGTGACTTTGGCAAACTGTGTAGTGAGACGTATGAAAGATCACTGGCACAATATAAAAAGAAATCCAGTTAAAACGAGCCTTGTTTTATTTCCACCAGGGACAAGTTTGCAGGAGAGAAGATCCCCACCCTGGAGGAGGCAGTGGAGGAATGCATCAAACTGCAGCTAACCATCTACTTTGATGTCAAAGGTCATCCAGATGAGGTAACGCCAACAAAACTGCCTGCATAACTGAGAGATTGCACATCATCATCGTCACAGTTTGCCCGTGTTGATTTTAGTGATGGCTTGATACAAACTGATCACAAGTCCACCATTTCTACATTTCTACTTTTTTATTTATTACCAATAGAATGGCACTATAATACATGTCACCACTCTATTAGTTGCACAAAACTAATCATTAAAATTAGTTGTGGCAAGCCAGAGTCATACCGGGGAATATCCAGAGAAGAGAAACACTACTAACACTGACGCACTTTAAGACGTCCAGAACACATGTTCCAGGTTTGTCTGTACTCAAACAAATAACAAACCCCTAAAACGCACACGGACACACACACACACACACACACACACAGCTTCTCACAGATTGAGGACAGCACCACTGATAAGCAATGTTTTGTTTGTGTGGTAACATTGTGCATGCTGTTAGACGTTCCTTGTTTGTTTGCTCTTTAACAACCAAATGTAACTTTGTTTGTGTTGGCAACATAAAAACTGAGCCAGGGGCAGTAGTCTCTTAGCTTAAAGTTAGGGTATTCACTCAACTCCTTAAGTGCAGCATTTGCACATTTTTAAGGAAGGGAAAGCTGCAGTTGTGGTTGGAGGCTCACGTACTGACATTTATGATTTGCGGGCCCGTATGCCTGTGCATACACAGCTGCTAGTTACCACCTAGTGGTCGGAGAGGAACACCCACAAGCAAAAACATTAAATCTGCAAACAGCTGAATGACCTACGATAACCATTTGTTTCTTCTTCCTACTCAGGCAGCTGCAGCTCTAAAGGAATTGTATAAGAAATATCCGGTCCTCTACAACAGCAGCATCGTCTGCTCCTTCGAGCCCAAAGTCATCTACAGGGTAAGACGGCTCATATCTGAAGAGTTTAAAGCTTAGTTCATGTCAGTAAACACACTATTTTTTCAGGGGGGATTTTTCTCTGTGGTTTTCTTCATACGATCTAGTCCAACTAGAGGAAAATTACAATTTAGAAGAAAATACACCGAGGTAAACGAATATGTAGTATAAAGAATCAAATTCCAGACATGAAGAGTTTCTGGTGACTGTCAGGTCACGTAGCACCGTTTGTTCCCAAAGGGGTAATTTCAACGCTGCAATTACACACCCTTAAAAAGTACAAAAGATAAAGATGCACAAAGTTCAGACAGTTTGGCTGCACACAGTGAAACAAAAAAAACAAAAGAAGAAATGTAGAAACAAGTTTGTGTGGGTCAGCTTATCTTATTTATCCTACATTAATTAACTTCTGCTATAAACTAGAAGTTCAAAGTTCTCTATGCATGATTATGAACCCTGACCACTTTCAGAACTTTTTTTTTTTTTTTTTTTTTAAACTTGCAGCACATTGGCAACGTGGTTAACGCTGTTGCCTCATAGTATGAAGGTCCTGGGTCCAAATCAAGCATTTGGCCCGGGCCTTTCTGTGTGGAGTTGGCATTTTCTTCCCATGTCTCTGTGGGTTCTCTCTGAGTACTCTGGCTTCCTACCATAGTTTTTGGGGTAGGTTAATTGCTGATTCTAAATTGGCCGTAGGTGTGGATGTAAGTATGCCTCCGTGTTAGCAGTGCGACAGGCTGGAGACCTGTCCAGGGTGTGCCCCACCTCTCGCCCTATGGCAGCCGTTACAGGCTCCAGCCGCTCCGCAACCCTGAGTAGGATAAGCGGATATCTGTGTGTTACACTTTGCACCTCCTAGACACATTTAGGTGATGGATTACAAGACTAATTAAACAGTATGAGCACACAGCTCTTAGTGCCTGAGCTCTTGGTTCCTATTTTCATTCATTTGTTACCAATTAAAGTGAACGCTAAGATGACCTGACATCAGCTGACATGTGGCTCAAAGTAGTTTACAGTTTTAATTGTAGTTATTTTTGCACAGTCTAAGAGTTAAGTTAAAAATGTATTGTAATAAATAGTGTTGACTCAGAAAGAGTGGGGAAACAAATACACAAAACAGCATGCTAATGTTCACCAACACTTTGTGTCTAGATGAGACAGAGTGACCCAGATGTGGTCACGGCACTGACCCACCGGCCTTGGAGCCTGAGCCGGTTCGGGGACGGTGCCCCACGTTTTTCATCGCCGTGGAAACATCACTGGATGACTGTCATGGACATCTTGTTGGACTGGGCACACCATAATGTTTTGTGGAAGCTCTGTGGCGTTTCGGCGTTCCTGATACAGAAGAACTTTGTCTCACAGTGAGTTTTGTAGCTGGAACATACAGTCATATATTCTATATATGCATTAGATTTCATTAGAATACAGATGTGTTAGAGGTACATTTCAATGGCACTGCTAACTGTCTTATTCCATGCTTGGGTTTATTGTTGTGGATCATCAATAGGAGGAAATCTAAACATTACATATATTTGTATATATTAAGTATCTCACTTTTACTTTTTTTTTTTTTAAGTTATACCAAAAAAGTTATCGTTGCTTTGTACTCATCCTTAAAAAGTTCTTTTTGGGTCATTCAGACCAGATGAACATCACTCACCGATTGTGTGTCCTGTCTGCAGGGACTATGTGCAGTACTGGGCCCAGAGGGGTGTCGAGGTTGTAGCCTGGACCGTCAACACACAAGTAGAGAAGGAGTATTACCAGGAGGTGCTAAAAGTCAACTACATCACAGACAGCATGGTGGAAGACTGTGACCCTCATTACTGACGTACACATAAATCCACTCAACAAAATGTTGGCATTTATTAAAGATAAAAGAAACTGTCACCCATATGTAAGCTCAAGCAAGAGATCATATACTCCTTTTATTTCCAAGAACACTGTTTTTCTATGGGTGTATGTTTCCTGAAGAATTTTAACTGGGCGCCATAACAAAATACAAAGTAACAGATTTTATTACGACTAAATCACTTTAATAATGAATAATGATGAACTCGCCTGTTATATTTACAGACTTGTTAATGCAAGGTGCTGGTAATATGTGTCTATAATAGACCTGCAGCAACATGATGTATTCATCCACTCAGGACTACATTGGGGGTTTTGGGGTTTGTTTTTTGTTTTTTTTGTATGTTTGTCATGTTAGTTGTGTTTATACAGTCTTTCAGATAATGCAGAGCACTGTGTGCACTTTTTACTCACTAAAATCTGAAGAAATCTACCTTGAGATGATTTTTTTTTTTTTTGTCATTTATGACCTGTGAATACTACTTATTAAAGAAACATACATAAATGCTTTATAGAGCAGCATAGACAAACTAATAATAAGTAGGCTTGGTGATTACTTATGTTGTTAATGTATGGAGAAAACAAACTTTTGTACTGTACTGTATATGAAACCACAAGGACATTTATGAGGGATCAATTGTGGCACAAATACACGAATGGAGTTAATGCATGGCTTTGTGTAAGGCTCAAGTGTTACCAATAACACAGTGCCTGTTTTTAAAGAGTAAACCCTTTTTTAGCAGTATGACAGTTTTGTAACTGCTTTACTTGAATGGGTAAAAACTAAAGTTAGACGTTGCTTGATGTTGCTGCTTGTCTGGAAAATCAACCTCGTGCTTTTGCATTTCATATATGCTGAATGTAAAGTAAGCTGGCTTTACTTTTTTTTTCATCCCTAAACTTGAGTGTAGAATTTCAAAATGTAAATTACACAATTTGGTGTTGCCGTAAGGCTTTAAATGACTTTAATAAGCCTGACTGATTCTAGATTTTTGGGGCTAATGACTGCCAGCTTTTGGTGGTCACCACATTCTAGTATCTGATGATATCATTATATCTATACACTGTAGATATTACTGTACAACAGAGGTGGACGATTAATTTTCCTAGGTGGACATATTAGAAACTGGAACGGTTTTGGAGGGAAAATAGATATAAAATTTTTACTCGACCATAAAATCTATTTTTACTAATCAAATGGCTCCAAATAGCAGGAAAATGCATCAACAGTTTAAAGTAAGGTGACACGGACTCTCTTGTGAATAACTACTTGATTTTTTTTAAATTTCTTTGTAATAGTTGTGGGAATGTAGAGCTGCTTGGCAGACTGAAAATGTTGGTCTGTCATGTTCTGTGTCGTTATGTGACGGCTCTGGACACTAAAATGGATCATTAAAGGTGAACGGTTTGAGCTGATATCTTGCATCGCATCATTCAGTAAACACAAAAACCTGGACATACTGTCTCAGGAGAACATAAAACTGTTCAGGTGTAGTGTAAAAGCTCATGCATTCACTGTTTGGCCCTGCTGTTAATGCTAAGCTTGTGTAGTGGGGACTGTTGATTATTAGCTTTTGGGCCTGCAGAGTCAGGCGATTGACCCAGATAGCGCAGATGAATGGGGGTTGAGTGAGAAGTGTAGTGTTGGATATCACCCTGGTTAAGCCTGTCTGAGCCGCTTCTTGTCCCGGCTGATCTTCAGTTGCTAAATGCAGAATTTCAGCTCAGGTAGTTTGGAGGCACTCAGCTAATTTTTATCTGAGCAAAAGAATCAGTTTACCTGCGTGTTTAAAAAAAAAAGAAAAAGAAAGAAATGTTAGATTTCAGGTAGAAATTATCAAAGGATAACAATGACGATAAGTCCCCAGAGAGATTATGGTGAGTGCCAAAAGCTGATTTAAAAACTAAAGCCCTATCCTTGTTAATAGAGGGGTTTTTTTTAATGCTCACAATTGGTCAAACATTCTTAATAATTGTCTAATAAATATTTTTGAAGTGTGTAACCAAACCTTCAAACTGCACCAAAATGTAAGTTTCCTGTCAGCTTTCTTTATTACTGTCAAAGCGCCTGGAGATCTGCGAATGTGGTTTAATAGGTGAAAGGTGAGCGCTTCGCGGCTCCTAAAACCCGGCCTGAGGGGCGTTTAGTGACGTCACGCACAGGGGGACTAACCAGAAGTAACAACGCGACCGGAAACACAGCAGCTCCGATTTCAAAATAAAAGGCTTTTCAAAGTGTGGAAAATTTTTAAGATCCCTACAAATGAATGTAATTAATTAATCGCAAGGTTGGGAAACAGTATGTAAATATTAAGTTTAACACAACAAAAATATACTTAAAATAGCATGAAGCTCAGTGAACTAGAAAACAATGAAAAAAAATATTAAAAAGGTACAAACCTAATCTGAAATAACTATACAATAAAGTAAAAGTATACAAAAGTATAAGTAAAATAAGTAGACTAAAAGTCTAATATACATGTACATTTAAACTCTAAATTCACCATTAAATAATAATGGACTATGTAATAAAAAAGTGAATAATAAAAATAATGGAAAGGTGTTGTTGTGTGTAAATCTCTTAACTATGTATAATTTATGTTGTTATTATAACTAATTCCAACTTAATTAAAACTATTAATTAATTTAAACTATGATACGTTTTATTCATTTTGTTAAAGTAATACAAAAGAGAATAATTAAATGGAAAATCTATAATAAAATACAGTGCTGTGCAAAACTTTATTTTACTTCCAAGGACCCAGGTTTTCTTGTAATTATTATTTACAATTTGTGTCTTTTTTTCTTTTTCTTTTGTGGTCCTGAGCAATACTTCTCGGGGCTTTTTTTTAGATCTTTTCTTTGGATAGTGGCAGCTCCTTGACTCATTTTCAGTGAATAACCAATTCTAGAGGGATGTTTGATGAGAAGAAGACAAAACGCAAACAGAAACACTTGAAAACAACTGCTTATGGAACATGACAAGAAGCCCAATGACCACAAGAAGTCAGACACTAGAGGAGTATATCCCTAGAAGTCCATGCTCTGTTTGGTCCAGATCTTTACAACATTAGGCTGGGTTTTTAATGTTGTGGCTAATCAGTGTTTAAGTGCATAGTATTTGTAGCTGCATGATAATCAATAGTATATAACTGTGTAGTTTTTAATGTGATATAAAAGTACATATGGTGTCACCTCAAGATTGTGCTCATCATATTTTAAATGGTGCTTCAGTTTAAAGTAGCTGTAGGCTTGTATACTCCAAAATTAGTTTTATTTTGAAATGTTCAGGCGGAAGCCCTGTTCTGCATTTGGACTTGCTTGACGCTAGCCCAGCATGCTCGATTTCAGTCCTGAAGAGAATAAAGTGTGCAGTGCCCTTGTAACCTGTCAGAAATCAGAGGTGGTACAGTCGGTTCCGGAGCACCAGCAGAGGAGAGAGGGTAGGAGTGTCCGGCTTAGAGTGTCACAATTCAGGGACGTCAGGAAGCTTGCCCCCGCCTCCCATTAATGATCCCCGGCATGTGGAACTGCGTTCTCCTTGAATGACCTACACACAACCTATTGCACGAGTCCTGGACGTCGTTTCATCTCAGTTGAACCACCTGCCGGAGAGGAGCTGCAGCGGGCGGTCTACACAGCGGGCAACAAGTCGAAGCGAGTCTCTGGCAGGCCTCGAGCCGACTGTGGAGCAGCTGACCTGGACAACAATCATTTCGGGGGGCAGCCTCAGAAGGACCGGACAAGAGCTACAAGTTTCAGAGTCAGCGTTCAATGCTTGAGGCCGACAATTAAGGAGAAGGGGCAGTGCAGAATTTCTCGAGGGTATCGGCGTTCACATGATGTACACAATCACCAGAGGTCCCAGCAAACTCGTTACACAACGGAGGACAGGTGAGTGAATGTGGCCATTACCTAACGCGTGATGCAATGTAACGCCAGGCTGCTTTTGGCTCAAGAAAGCGAAAGTTTCGGGGTTGTTTCGTAAGGTGAAATGTTTGAGTGCTGGGTTACATCGAGTCTACAAACGCGTAATTTTTCCGTTTTTGCCCCAGGTAACACTCAGCAGGTCGAGAGCAAGTTCGGCGACTTGAAACTGAAGCCGACGTCCTGGATCACGTCAAAGTGAGTATGTTTACTTTGTGTGTTTATTTAATGTTTACCTTTTTTTTTTGAGGGTTGCTTTGGGCGTGCTGCTGTTTGAGCAGCGCGAGCTCAAAATACTTTCCACGTGGACCGCGAGCGCGATCATATAACACGTAAGCGTGGCTTGGTTCCATTATCGGACACAACTTCTCTGGCGGCCCGTCAGTTTCTCGGGCCAATCAGAGGCGCCATTAGTTGAGGTGTGACACTGCATGGTGTAGCCCAGAGCTCTGCTACCTGAGGGGCCAACCCACCTCGCCTGCTGTGATTTATTAAGGTGTAGAAATATAAAGAAAATAATATAAAGAAAAGCCTAAATCTAGCCTTGATTGAAACTTCATCTACAAATGGCAAAACTAACTTAATGTACTGAGATAGTTAAGGTGGACTAACCAATACAAAGCTGCAGTCTCCAAAATGTCCAGGAAAAAATTGACCACTCTAAGAAAACCTTCTTGTGTGAAAGTGTGCAAGACTTAGATTTACACTTAGATTTGCACTAATATATAACACCCCACCTTCAAGAAAACACCAAGTAGGTAATGGATGCCCTTTTCAGCTCATGTTCACCCTGCCCATGAAGAACCAAGTCAGTCTGTCCTGTCATAATCAAAGTGGCCACACCTTCACCAAGTAATCCAAGCTGCTAAATGAACATAAGACTTTTACTCTCACTTTGTAACGTGACTCCTGTGACTGTCTTCATCCAAAAAGCCGCTCCTCTGCAATTAGCTCTTGTGTTTTCTCCTTAGCTCTCCTCCTCCAAAGATCGTGTTCAATCGCCTCAACGGGAAACGGTACCACAGTGCGGCCGCACAGAAGTCTGAAAGCCCAGTGGAGGGATTCACTCCTGCACACGAGGAGAATGTCCGATTTGTATACGAAGGTGAGGATAAGGGGACCAATAGATGGGTGGTGATGTAAGTCAGAGTGCAAAGTGAGCCCTCCAAGACAAAGTCAGATCTTTATCTGAAAGGGGAGGTGGTATTAGTTACTAGAGTAGCTTTACATGATTCATAGTTTATAATGAGCCTTTTCAACCTGTTCTGGGTACTAGTGTAGCCCTTCAGTTCATCTCTTAAACCATTGTAGCTCCAGTTCCTCTTCTTTTTAAGACCTCTTAATACTTCCTATTGGCGGCCTCTCACAAAAGTTTGCACAGCAAGTGGTGGACCTGCGGTGCTCAGAGGCAGAGCTGTCTGCCTGAGGGGATCATACTGGGGCTTTCCACTCTGTCTGAAACCAAGCAGTTTAGAGCCCAAGCTTTTTGGTACTTGTACAATCAGTGATCTCACTTTTTTGACACTTTGGTCATCTTTAATAAGCGACTTTAATAGGCTGATGATAATTTGGAAATCAGATGATCTTCTGCAATACACGTCCTCCTCTGCATAAGAAGCTTTGGATATACAGATGTGCAAAATTTTAATATTTACTGTTTGCATTTTTACCATGTTGGTAAATTTCTCTTCATATACTTAGGTTCAGAATTTATATCCTTTTTTATAAGGTAGTTTTCAGTAATGTTGGGTGTTGTTTTGCAAACTAATAACCTTTTTTCTTTTTTCTTTTTTTTTAAAATGACAAATACCTGAACTACTGCAAAAATTCAACTAGTTGTCAGTAGGTCTCAGACGAGTGCTGCTTCTAGTCAGTAAACCCTAACAATGAGTTAAGTCCAGGCCCTGCAACATTCACCCCCGTCTTGGAAGATTGTCCAGCATACCTCAGCGCCGGCCAGTATTTCATGCCGTGCTCGGATTGAATGATTTATGGAGCTGAATCGGCATGAGCCAGCTATCTGTGTTACTCTTGGGCTGCTGCCAGTAAAGACTGCTCTGTGGCGTCCTTTTGTGACCACAAAGTTCAGCGCTTCACTTTTGTTCTCTGCTCAGACACAAGGAGGAACCGCTCTCACGCTCTGTCGAGTTGTTCGAAGAGAGAAAACCTGCTGCGGTTTATTCCAGTTGAACATGTTCACACAAAAAAGATAAAAAATTGTAACAAATGTAACCTGCAGACATGATTAGAAAGCGTTTTATGCACCCGCATGCACACGTTCAACTGGTTTATTGTTTAACATCCTTAAAGCCGTTAGACATTAAATGTTTGGCTGACTATTGGAGCTCCAAGTAAGCAGAAGACATGTCCACAGAAACTAAACCTTGAGATTTATCTTGATTATTAAATGGAAAAACCTTCACCCTCAGCTGATAAACACAATCCGCCTACCAGACCAGTCCTCTCAAGGTTTGCAGCCTTCAAATGAATTTAGATAAATAGTGGTCAGAGCTGTGTAGATGTGCCCTTGAGCTCAGCTGCTGGTTGAAGATTTATTTTTATTTTTAGTGTCTTTTTGTATGAGTTCAAAGATTACAGGAAAAAATACACCAGTGCATCCATCCAACATCCAAATGGTAATTACAACTCCACGCGTGTGTGACTGTTTGCAGTGTGGCAGGAGGTGGAGCAGAAGCTGGAGGACGGCGGCAGAGGGGAGCTGGCTGGCAGCCAAGGGCCCGTTCAGTACTCCGAGAAGACCCCGAGTGCTGCGATGAAGAGTAAGTTCCCATGACTTTTAAAATGCCTCCAGTCATTTAGAAACTAACGTGACCACACTCATTTAATGTAATCTTACCGTATGTCTTTATGGCATCCTAACAGATAAACCTCTTCCTACTCATTAAGCTGCTCAGCTTTTGAACCTGTAATCTATGCATTTATTATGTCTGGGCCTTTAAACCCCTGAACCGATTGGCTATTTTCATCTCTCTGAATGAACAGCATGCAAGGCAGAGGGCAACTGTTGTAATAGTATTGCTTAAATTTTTAACCTCCTTTAATTTGAGAACCTGGCTATTCCAGATAAACCAGCCGTGACGACCAAATGTAGTGCACACACCTACCTGCCTCTTCCGCTTTCCATTGTGTATCGCTACCCCGAAAAGCTTAAACCAAACCGGTTTCTAATCCTGAATTCTTTAGAATGTGAAGAAAAAAATATTATTATATATTTTTTTATTTTTAAGAAGACCGAAAGCTTTTCAAATCTGAGAAATTAACAACATGACAAAAGGAGCTCTCCATTCAAGTGAAGGACAATGAATCGATTAAAGACGCAGGCTGGAATTCTTCAGCTGTTAATGTAACATTTTGTTCACGTGTAGAAAACGTACTTGCTCATTTGATTCAATCTGAAGTTAAGCTTTCGTCTCTTGTCTCTCCTGCCGTCCTCCCCTCTGTGCAGACTTTGTGCCCATAGACCTGGAGGAGTGGTGGGCTCAGCGCTTCCTTGCCAACATTGCCAACCTCTCATGACTGTGATGAGGCATCGAGCCGGGACGAGGAGATGCACCGCGCTGATGCATCCGGAACTTGCCACACGGGTGGAAAGGAGGCGAGCCCGTCTCCGGGATGTGTAGCGTTGTGTCTAATTTGGAATGTGATTTGATGCCTCGTGCTTCACAACTGCTGTCGAGAAACCTGAGTGCACAACGATGCAAACACAGCGACCTGACTGGGAACTCTTGACAGCATTGACTTTATGTTGTGCTGCTCTAACGGATCTCTCTCTCTCCCTCTCTCTCTCTCTCTACTTGAATGATGTATCAGAAGCTATGAGATCTTCCCCTTGTTCAACAACCTGCTTCCTTTCTCAAGTGTGTTCAGCTCTGCGAGCATCTTGGTTAATCTTTGGATAAGGAAAAACAAAAAAAAACCACACAAAATGCCTTTTCAACAACTTCTGTGAGATTGCATTTCTTTGCGCTTAACTGGCTCATATTTTGTTGTTGCAACACATAACACCTGACTGTTGTGCAATACAACACGCTGAGGATTAACTTTGTATCACTGGGCTGACAAAGTGTAATATCAACTTTATTACATCAAGTGGTTTTGCTGTTTTGAAATTTTTAAATCAAAAGCCCTTTTCAGATATAACTTTACTGGCTGTTAAAGTGACAGTTTGGTCATTCAGACAGACATGTGACAGTATTGGAAAGACTGACTATAATCAGTATAAACTTAGTGGATGGCAACTTTTTAATGTTAGTGACAATGTAGAGGAGAACAAAGAGCAGGGTGTACGTGACATGTTGTGCTGATGAGAGCTGTTCAGGCTGTTCTTCTTTGGGCTGATGTGTAAATGTTACTCTTTCTTAAGATTCCCGTCATGACTTTTATGGAAAAAGTGCTCATTTTGGACACCTTGTAAGGTGCAACAGGAGTGCATGTCTGAAGGGGGCTAAAGCAGCCATTTGTCAACCCCACACTACAGCCGTCATTAATCTGATTTATTTTCTTAATAAATGCAACATTCGGGGGGGGGGGGACAGAAAAAAAAACAGTTAAAATACACCCGGTCCTGGAGAAACGGTGTCAATATTTACATAGTTATAAACCTGTTTTTACTAAAGATGTTCTCACTTGGGAATAATCAGTCTTTGTCTTGATCATTTAGATTTTCTTGTGGCCTTTTCAGTTCTCAGACAAACGTTCCAAGCACAGAAATAAAATCTGCCATCTTTAAGTTTCTACATAAAACCATTCTTGCAGTGAGTTTAAAAGTGCGACTGTGATGCCTCCTTCCTTGCTTGCCTCTCTTTCACCTACTTTTGCCCGCCTTGCCTGTCCTCTTGACCCGCCTGCGGCTCGGTGCGGCGCGGCCTGGCTTGGCTGTGGTGAAGGTGATGCACTGAGAGTCCAGGTAGTCCATGAGCTTGGCGGCCCCCAGGCGTATACCCGCTGCTTTGAGTTGCTCCTGAAGCTGAGACAGAACCAGAGGCTTATACTGGAGGATCTGACTGTACAGCTTTGAGTCGGACAAGATGAAGGAGCGCACGGCTTTGAGTCGATCCTGGAGCCGGGACGCTGCTTGAGAGGCAGAAATCCCGCCATCGCTGTCGGAGTCGCCGTCGGACGAGATGCATAATTCTGGATTGGACCTGATGAGAAGGAAGCGGTTAATTTTATAGACTCTACTAAGTGTCTGATTTTTAAAATGAGTGTCAGGTATCTAACTTGTATATCTGAGGGTCAAACGTGCACACACTAAGCAACAGCTGGAACTGGAAAGCTACTTCAATGGTTCCAAAATGTCTCCAATCAGCCACATGTCAGTAGTTGTGTGGTCGTGTGACCCCAGCCAGGCGTGTAAGGGGTCATGTTGGCACCAAATGATCAATCACAAAACATGAATGAAATCAAGTTTTAACCTCCCAAATATGAGGAATTGTACCTGTAAAATGGGCTAAAAGCAACTCCTGATATTGGCTAAATTATCTGATCCAGAAACTCAGTTGATGGATGTGTGCAGATTGTTTTCTCTGTCCTGCATTACTGGAGCTGCTGCTGTTCTTTCTGTGCAACACTGTAATTGTGTTAAAAGAAGCCAAAGGTCCCTGAATACTATTGCCCTGCTAATCCAACCACCAAGCGTCACTACAGTAATCCCATTTTCCAGGAGAACTGAGCGGGTGAGTAGTGGTGCTTTTCTACACACCGATCTGTTACCTGTTACAAAAACAGCATTCAGGCAAGTTACCTTAAATTCTAGTTCATATCATAGAATATCTGTGTGTGAATTTGAATTAATGCTTCATAGTATATAAAAGCAATTTACAGTAGCGTTCAACACATTTGCTGATAAAGTTTATATCACATCAGCATCATTTTGAACTTTTCCCCCATTCTGTGCATTTTAAGCTCTTTCTCTCAGGAGCACTAACATCACAAGTCTTTGACTCATCGTTATATGGCTGTTATCTCCACTCTGTTAATGTAATTTTAGATAGTGGACATAATTAGATGAAGTATTTTAAATCACAAAATGGCATTTTTATACATTTCAAATTTCCCCCAAAGAATCTCATTCATAAAGGTTGTTTATCTTGACTTTATAGCTGTGCACTCACTACTGACTAAATTCATTGTTGTTTTCCCAGGTAGGAACAAAAAACAACATTCTAGAGCTTAATTAATAAAAACACTAAAAATGTAAGCACCCTCTGTATAGCTGTGGGTTGTGATGTACACAGGTGAACACTTTGGTGTCATTCTGAGGCAACAGCACAGCAAATTACACACAATGACCATAGCAGGTTACAAACTGGTGCTATTCAGCTGTGAAGGAGGGCAATGGTGTCTAACATCCTCCTCTTCACAATCCTCATGCATTGTGTCGACTCTTGATGGACTTCACATCTTTAAACTAAGACATTATCTTCTGAATGTTCACGACTGCCAAGAGATGACTTGGTGTGAACCTTTGATGTCATTTGATTTGTTACCAACACTAGTACAGGTGCACACAGGCGAGCAACTCTGAATCCATCAGAAACATGGCTCCTGGAGAACACAGGCCACTGACTGAGTCTATAGTCAAGCGCTCTGTTATGTAACACCTAAGATGATCTACACGCTGCGGAGTACCTTTCCGATTCTTCACTGGCTCCAGCTGAGGAGGTGTTGGAGCCCTGTGAGTTGGACAGAGGCTCTGCCACCTCATCACCGTTGTGCTTCACAGGGCACACATCAGCAGGTGCTCGGGGTTCTTTAAACTTCACAGTCTGGGCGCAGGACACTGGCCTGCTGGCAGGGGGCTTCATCTGAGCTGTGGCTCCTGAGACTGAGGCCTCATCCTCAGAGTCTGAGCTGACCAGCTGGTGTGTGTATTGGTGGATCTCCTTCAGTTTTAGGATCATCTGGCGCTTCGGTAAAGGCCGAACGCCAAACCTGCACAGAGGCGAAAGTTAAAGGCATTTGCGAGGCACAGACGGACTAACAGATGGACAGAAGGAAAACAGCCTGACAGCGAGCAGAGCCAGACAGACTGCGTTGACAGTGACACCAGGGGAGCTAATCGGATAGATACCTCACTTAATCGCTGTGATTAGTTAGAAAAAAAAAACTTGGCCTTGTATCTAATCTTTAACGAGAGGATGAGAGTGAACCAACTGACCTGTTGAGCTTGTTCTTGAGCTCCGGCGTGTCCATGTCAGAGTAGTGGGGCATGGGAGTGATGGGCACCAAGGTGCGCTGCCTTTTGCTGTGAGACGACACTGATGAAACACAAGAAGAAGACACTGTTTAGGCATAAAGTCTAATTTCTACACTAGAAGTTCATAAATAGAAGACAAGTGCGTGCAGTCCTTTAAAAAATCCCAACTAATTATTTATTCAACAGAAATTAAGCAACATATCTGTAATAGCCCGCAATCATATCTTAAGTTATACTAATTGTAAAGCATTTAAATGAATTGGTGATATTAAACAATATAGATAAAATGAACCTGATAAAGCAATAAGCCCCCAAACAACACATTATTCCTTGTTTTCCACTTGAATTTAATCAATACTTCAAACTTTTACCAGTCAATTTGGTTTTAACCTTGAAATGAGGCTCAGATATAACATTCTTTCACAATTAACAAGTTCGTGCTTATTAAAGTTAACGAGCACAACATTAATTAATGTTGCAGAGTCTCGACTTTAAAATATAAAGTGCCTTGAGATGCCTATTTTTTTTTTTTGGTGCTTTTTAAATAAAAACAAACTGAATTAATTGTGGAGGCTGTTTGAGAACTTGTGGTCAATAATAATAATTATCTGTCTTTTTGTGGTTTGTATATAGCACTACTTTGTCTATATTTCTCTTGGTTTTTATAGTATGTGTAGCCCTGTGCAGGCTTGTCATCCCAACCACAAGGTACAGCATGTACAACCCTGTGAATACAGACAATAACTTTCTACTTCAGGCACAGGTTGTCTGGTAGAGTGAAGAATCTGATTAGATTTTGAAGCAACTCTAGTATAAATTATGTATTAGAGGAGGATATTTAATAAAAATTAAGACCTGTTGATACATATTGGGATGGTTTTTATAATTTAGGCTAAAACAAATATTATTTAGTAATATGCAGTTTATATTTATGCTGGCAAATTACACAATAGAAATACTTACCTGGGGTCTTATGATAGGTTGAGGGGTTCACCCTCTTAGAGAGAGGAAGGTGTTCCTCCTCCTCTTCTTCTTCTTCCCAGCTGTCCCATATTTTGGAGTCCAGGAGGCCGTTGTCAATCTCTGGTGTGGTCAGCAATTTGGCTTTAGGTGGGGACGTGGTGATGGAGGGACCTGCGTGCACCTGAGAGCTGTGACATTTAGGTGTGGAAGGGGTAGTCACGCCACCACAGCGGTTTAAAGACTCGCTGCTGTGTCTGGACGATTCAGGTCGACTGGTGGGAGAGGTTAACGACTGGGCTGTTTCTCGCTGCCCGCTGTCCTCCAGCCTCAGACTGAAGCATCCTGGATCAGCGTCTACACACACATCGAGTCCCCATGAATCATTGAACGCTATGGGAGGCTCATCCATGGCCATGAAAATCTGCTGAAAACTAGATTCTTCAACATCTGCCTCTATTTTTATTTCTCCCTCCTGTCCTTCATTGAACATTTCTTCAGTATGATCGGAATCTGTCTCTCTTCCTTCCTTCTCATTCCTTAACCTCTTTTCATAAATGCTGGAATTAAGAGAACGTCGACTCTGACTAGAGGACACGGTGAGCTTTGGTGAACTTTCAAAACTATGAGAAGACGAAGCGCGTGGGCCTGAAGGGTCAGACAAAGGGGAGAGGTGAAAGCTCCCCAGGTCTGTTTTCTCTGGGCTATCTGATGGTGCTCTCTCCCTTTTCTGACCCATTGAGTTCTGCTTACTGGGATGAGTGTGAAGCAGGGAGGAAGCAAGACGCATAGGGGAATGGTGGAGCTCCGTTTGTAAGGGAGTACTGCTGTAAGGTTGGGGCTGGCGCTGAAGAGGAATATCACGCTTTGAAGAAGCTTGGAGAGAATCAAGGTGAGTCGAGCTTGAGAGATTTGACAGTTTAGGCTGAGGCAGGGGAACTTTGAATCGCTCTCCATCGTTCCTTGAATCATCACTATTCTCTCTTTTTGGAGAAAAGCTGAAGTTCCTTTCTATCTTCAACCTGGAGACACTACCCTTCATTTGGTCAGTGTCGGCAGAATCCTTGGTTTCACTGTTGGAGGGGTGAAGGGTGCTCTTAAGAGTAGGAGAAGAAAAAACAGAGGGTGATGATGGGGATGTTTGACTTCTCCGAAACAGCTGCGTCCTGCACATGCTGCTTCTGGTCTGAGTGGAGCTGCTCCTGGTGCCGCTGCCAGGACGGACAGGTGTGGACGGGATCAGCCAGGAAACTTCTGGAGAACAGTCTAATTGATCACCAGCACTGTGCCCCAAACTACTGGCCTCTTTATTCAAAGCTGGTTCATTGGGTGCTGAGTTGTGCCTGGATTTGATTTCTGTATAACCGGGAGAACGTGGTAAGGGGCTACGGGAACTAAGAACAGCAACATCCCCCTCAAGCTCCTCACTGGAGTCTGACAAAACTATGAGCTCAGGTTCGTCTTTTTTCTGGGCTGAATCAGGAGAATGAGGGGTGCAAATACTAGAACGACCTTGGCTTTCTCGCTTCATGTCTTCCAATAGATCTTTCTTGGGCATTTTCAATTCAACTGGATTTTTTCCTTTGTCTCCACTGCCACCCATGTCACCTACTTGTCCAGGGGACACACCTGGAACTGGCAAGTTGGATGTCCCTGGTGGAGGACTGATGGAAGGATCACTAACTACACTTGCTGAAGACTGAAGCAAAGCTCTCCCTGAAAATTCATATGATGGTTTACAAGGGGACTGCTGAGAAAGGTGCACCTTTGGCAGACCAGAGGTAGAAGCTAAGGAGGAAGGCTCTGCTTCCTCGTACACCCCCCACGAATCTGAAAAGAGACGGCTGTAGCTGCGATCCAGGCTGGGGTCGGGCTCACGTTGAAAGTCAGGTTGCAGCTTTTTGTCACTTAAGCTTTTTTTAGTTTCTCCATCTTCTTCCTCATCTAGCGCCTCCTCCTCCTCCTCCTCCTCCTTCTCCTCCTCCCTCTTTCTCTGCGTGGACGCAAACTCATAGATCTCCTCCAACTCTTCCTCATTCACTTTCTCTTCGTGAATCTCTCTATCGCCTGACGTGACCTCATCAGCTTGATGATCCACTTCCAGGCCTTCATCTCTTCCTCTGTCTGAATCTTCCCCGTCGTCACCGTCAGCATCATCTTCGTTCCACATGGAGCGGAGGAGCTCGATGAAGGCCTGGTCTGTTTCCTCCTCCTGGGTTAAGTAGTTGCCCTCGTCTCTCAGAGTCTCCTCTTGCCTAAGATGACAAAGCTGTTGTAGCTCCTGCAAGTCAAACCTGAAACAGGAAAGAGAAACGAAAGGAAGAAGCTTTCACAACAGCGTCAAATTTTAAGAGTTCTTACATGAAATTCAGAAAACATCAAAAAGAATAATACTTTTTAAGTATTGTTTTTTATATGATTTTAATGTTTTATTTAAAAAAATGGAAACTCTTAACAGAAGTTCTTTTCACACATGCATTAGAGCCCTGAACCTTTCTCAGCTTATCTAAAGCAGCTGTATGAGAGAAGTCAATTATCTGACTCAGTCACATCACAGTCAAACCTGCCAGCTTCCAACACGCTCTCTCACATGTACGCCGTCTCCTCGTGTGTCCTACATGTGAGAAAGAACAACTGCGAACCACATCCTGACTGCATTCTCCAGATGTTTCCCATGTGTATATGTTTACAAACATCTGGGCTTCTAATTTAAGTGCAATTATGAGAACCAGCTCTGTTTAATAAAGAACAAAGCTAGACAACAAACAAGATCCTGGTTTATAGGATGAAATATCGACTGTTTAAGGCATTTGAGCTTTTTGGTGGGAGCAGACATCCACTCTAGTTTTAGGTTTTGCCATTAAAACTTCCCTCTTTAATAAGGCATACTGTAATTGCTGGTTCAGGTGACCCTGAACCGCCCCATCGTTGTGACACTATTGCCCCGGGCTACTAGGGGAACTCCGAGCGGCATTCTTTTTTTTGTTTTGTTTCTCTCTCATTTTCAGTCTGCATGTATTTATGCCACTGCTGCACGCATAAACTTTTGCTTTGTATTTTGTGCTTTGGACTTTACATCCTCCATCTCCTAGTACCTTCGTGCCAGCTCCAGCACATGAGGCTGCAGCGATGCCGGTAAGGAGAAGTGGGCTGTGTAGAGATACTGTAGAAGAGCAAACACTGCTTGGGCCGGGACGTCGCTGATCAACACCCTCTGAGCAGGAGGCACGCCTTCCTCCTGAACCCCAAAACCACTTTCATGCATCTGTGACGTGAGCAGAAGAGCAAATCGACTCTGAAAAAGCTGAATTAATTCATAAGAAACTAAAGAAACAACTTTAACCAAAACAAAATTCCCAATTTGTTTTTAAAGCATTGAAATAAAATCACATTCACACGGCTTATTCTTTCAAGCAAAATGAAATCTCAACCTGGAGCATCGCACACCACAGTATGCATCAGTGTAGACCTTTAATTACCGCTTACAATCATACTATTATTATTTATACTACTTGCTTCAATTTTTACACTAATTAGATTATATTTCATACTTGCAAAACATGACAGAACAATATGCATAATAATGCGTCCCTGGTGTTGCACATCAGCAGAGCTTTGATGTGCAACACAGTAATAACTGATTTACCATTTCTGCCAGCAGGGGGCAGCGAGCATACACCATGAAGGAATGTGCAAAGAAGACTTCTCCACTGTCCACCTGGAGCTGGACATCACTGAGCTGAGGGTTGTTCACCATGCTGCTCAGGTCTGACGCCAATGTGGACAGCGCTACCTACAGGGGGAAAACCATCACAATACAATGACGTAAGTTAACATGTTATTTAGGTCCTGATATTTATTTTATTATAATTATTGCTTTAAAAGAACACGATGAATTAAGGTGATTTAAAAACTGTGTCATCACAAAGTTAGCCTGCAGCATGCAGAATGGTTTGCATACAACATTGCTTCTGTTCATTAAGGTTTGTGGGAATTAGTTGGCAAGTTCCCGCCACAGCACTTAAATCAGGTTGAGATTTGAATTTTGGGCCAACTGCAACACCTTGACTCTTTTTTTTAGCAGATTTGCATCACTGTCCTGCTGCATGACCCAGTTTGAGCGAGAGAGGTGGGCTCAAATTTGACTCTATAAATACTTTGTTATTCAGATGAGTTTATGGTCAAATCAATGACTGCAAGGTGCCCAGGTCGTGTGGCTGCTCTTCACCAGCACAGCGGCTCGTACCAGCGTATGAGGTATCTTTATTGGACAACTTACTGACAAGTAGCCGTATGACTGTTCACTCAAATAAAATATCTGGAGGCGACTCTTTATATTTGGCAGCTTTTTACAACAAACCCTTGTTTATACTCCAGAACAAGAGGGCCAGATTACACTTGGCCTGACAACATCTAGGGACCTTACTACAGATCTAACTAAAAGAAAATAAAGCAGTCCTACAAAAATAGTACTTAAAAGATTTGGTTAGATGAAATTGATGAACATAATGGAAATGTTAAGAAACATCTTACTGATAGGTGGCTGTCTCCAACTTTTTCCCTTGGTTGCTCAGCTGCTGTCATCGCTTGGTTATGTCTTTCCTCAGCATGCGTGTGGGCCCTTTCTGGCAGGAAGCCACTGGCACAGAGGTCAGCCTGCTCCTCTGATTCCTCCTGGATGAAGCCGCTCTCGCTGGCGTTGTCTGCAAAAAAAGGTTAAATAGTTTAGCCTCATGTTTAGCACGATGTTAAAATGTTTATAAAATGTTTATAAAACTTATATAACCAACACCCACAGTTTTAGTTTTTCTTCAACATACACAGCAAGAACAGAAGACAGTGAACAAAGGTGTGTATGTGATGTGTTCACCATATTTTAGGCGCTTTGCCTTTTATTTAAATGTTCAAATTAAACTCTACAGGTAATAACATCATAATTTTATATCATATAAAATATCAAACTGTCAGTTAACTTATTGGTACAATTTTCACATTAGGTAAGGCTTTAATGCTGCTCCACTTTAAATAAAAAAATGTTTTAGGACATAATTTCTGTCCGCGTGTTTTACCTTTGGCTGTGTATCCATACTGTGTGAGTGTCATGCCTTCGTCAGCCAGGTCCATCAGGTCTTGAAGAACCTGACTGCTCACTGAGAGCTGCCCTGTACCGGGCGTGGAGGGAGCCGGGGAGCAGGAAGCCGTCTTGGCAGAGGATGGTAGGATGGAGGTCCTGAACCCAGTGGTGGGAGTTCCTTTGGCCACAGGTTGAACACAAGACTCGGGCTTGTCGCTGGAGCCTTCTGAGGCTGCATCAGTCTAGAAGTGGAGGAGTTTTTGGTCAGATATTGTAAGACATGCAAGATCACACTCTTCTCAGTATGAAGATCCACTGGGACCCATTAGTGATTCCAAAACACAACATTTTTCTCTCAACAGTTTTATCTGTGCTTAAAGTTGCATCTGATTAAAACAAATGATCAAAAGAGGTGCTTCCATTCAATCGAATTGATTAAATCCTCCATTTAGTTGAAAACTGACGCAATAACACAATAAAAAATAAACATGTCTTTGGTCTCACTCACCATTGCTGATACCCAGGGTGAGAAGAACTCCCTGAGCTCCGGAACATAGAAATCAGACAGACAGCTGGAGTCTCCGTCAAGCAGTCGGCTTTTCTCCCAGAGGGGGGCAGCACCGCTCCAGCTATGCAGAGTGCTGGGGCTGCGAGGTGGGGTTGGGGGACAGTCTGGAGGGCTGCGCAGGAGAAGAGCAGAAACACGTTCCTGCAACCTCCTCAGTGCCCCCTCAGCATCCTGAATGAGAAGTAATGGAGCAGGGCGAGGGACGACTCCTTTTTTTCTCTTTCCACGCCCTTTACCTGCACGAGGGGAGCAGAGGATTTAGGTGCTGCCGATATTTGAAAATTTCCTCATTAAATTTGAGTAAAAAACAACTTAATGTAACCTTTTAGTTATTAAATATCTAATAGACAGTCACATATACACTGCTGCAGGGCTTTAAAACAGCAACAGGTATGCAAACCCACAATCTACCAACTGTACTGTTAAATATTTGTTACTCATTGACAAAACAAGACGAAAACCTTCCTTGTTAAACCTTTTCTTTGCTCACGTTTGCTCTTGAGCTGTTACTGGTATTTATTCTGACTTGGTTTGATAACTGAGAAATGACCGGTCCTGATCAGCTATCATTATTAGAGACAAAGCTAAACCAAGATCAAAGGCAGGGTATCCTGGCTGCAGGGTGTGTTGATAATTAAATATTAAACTAAAGCTCAAATGTCAAATTAATAAACCACACCTAAGTTTCTGACTTTGAAAACTGAGTTGGGAATTCAGTAAATGTAAATGTGTTTTATCTCTTCTGTACTTTGGGCTTTTCCTCCTGTGACCTTGCTTAATGCAGGCATTTCTGTCTCTGGAGCTGCACGTTTCTGAGGTGTGACAGAATAAGAAGCTGGAACAAGAAATTGTTGTAGGAGAAGATTTGAATTTGGTACTCGAGTTTTATCTATCTTTATTTATCTTCTCCCCTCTCCCTGCTTTTTGAAAAACACAGATACCTGCGTCTGGCCTCCACTTCAGATCTTGAGTCACTGACGTGTGAGAAGTGCCAGTCTTTGTGTGATACTGCCTCTCTTCCTCTTTCTTTTGTTCCAGCAGGGAGGAGGACAGAGCCAGAGCCACCATGGTCTCTTCATCCAGGGCTTCAGGCTTTTTCTTGGGCTTCTTCCGTGCCTGCAGGCCTGGCTTGGTTGGGCCTTTCCTTTTGGTGCCCACAGCTTGAATGCTGAAGAAGAAAATGGCTAGAGTTAGATGTCATCTATCTTTTAGTTATGCAACAAAGTTATCGTCTGACTTACAGTAAATTAGCAGTGGCAGCACTCTGGGTTTCCTCAGCTTGTCTCTGCAGAGCCTGTATCAGCACAGCCGGTGAGACGTCCATATCTGAAGAACAGCGCTTCAAGTGGACCGAGCGGCTCTTCTGAGACTTGAACTTCTTACCACAGATGGGACAATCAGGAACACCAGAAGGTGGTAGAGGAGGAGGTGCAGGAGCCGCAGGGCCACTCTTTTCACTCTCATCCAAACACCTGTACAGAGAGATTTTTGACAAAAATGAAAAAATATATATATTCTGATTATTCAGAGAGACACTTTAGGTAAGAGTTCATGTATCTGCAAAGAAATCAAACATTTTGTAAAACACAGAAACTGAGGATGATTTTTTTTATTTGTGGAAAACTCTTATAACCCCAGGATTTCATTATTTTAATCAGATGTTTGTCATTATACTTTATGAAGTTATGACCTGAAAATTAGAAAAGGTATTGTTTTATTTTCCAACAAATCATTTAAATGCAACTTGGTGCACTCAATGAGTGGAATCCTTGAACTCCACATGGAGGCTACTTGTCCAATAAACACTCTCTTACAGTGCTGTAACAGTGAAGACAAACTTTTTAATGTCATTTAGCCTCCCTGTGTGTCCACTAGTATGTAAAGCTATCATCTAAAATGCAATCAAAATCCTCAGACCTGTTAAGATGCTGTGTGCGACCCTCTGCTGTCATGTGTGTTAAGTCTCTGTGGCAAATCTGACAGAAGAAAAGCCCTCCATCCTCCAAGTCCACAATCTGGGCCTGCGCTGCCTCTCTGTCCAGCTCCTGCTGCAGCTGCAGAGCAAGAGCCTCATCGTTGTCTTGAGGCTCTGGAGGAAGAGCAGAGCTGAAGGTATCTGGAGTATCTGCGAACAGCCCGGAGACAGAGAAATATACGGGTTAAAGTGAGGGATAGCAAGAATAACACAGCAACATTTCAGAAAACAGGATTTCAAAATAAGGAAAAGGTATGGGCCACATTTCCTATTTTTCAACGATAGACCCCAGTCCCTGGGTAACAGGTTGTTAGTAGTTTGTCAGCAGTCTACAGTTTATGAAGGTAAATTCTATATGGCCTATACTGAAATATAATGACGGAAATTTAAAGTGTAAAATTTGGGAAAAAATATGTCTCAGATCAATACAGACACAGAAAAACCCTACATAAAATATTACAGTGTTTATAAGGTCTACCTTTGTCTTCATAATGTTGCTGCTTTTGCCATGTTTAGACTGTCAGGCAGATTAATACTATCCTTGTGTCACAAATCACCCCTGACACTCACCATCAAACACTCCATCCTGTCAACACTGTCTTCTTCAGCTCTTTTGTGCACTGCTCATTGCTTTTAATGGTTGAACTCGGGTATTTAAACTCATTCACCATTACTACCTCTACTGTTCAAGGTGTAGCCCGTCTCTCACCCTATAACAGCTGGAAACAGCTTCAACCCTATAAACCTGAACTGGATAAGCATAAGAAAGAAGGTGTATGTTTATTATAGTTAAGTAAACTAAACTAAACTGAACTAAAAGCTAAAACTTGGTATGCAAAAAAACTTTTAATTATGTAATATAAAAATAAAATCTAAACTAAGTAAAATAAAATAAGAATGTAAAGCAAATGTCTTCAGATTTTGTCAGTTTGATCAAATTTGTTATTGCAGCCAGTTTGATCAGACTCTTGTGCATCTGTTAATCCAGAGAGCAGAGATTTATATTTTTATATTGTTGTATTTCCCTACTGTGCAGTTCTGAGCCTGGCAATTCTTGCCCCTGACAAATACCACCCATTAGATAACAAAGGAAAACTGAATATAATAAAAACCAAAGCTAAACATTTTAACTATAAAAACTAACCCACTCTAAACTGCCTGAACCTAAATTGAACACAAACACAACACAAAGAAAACTAATGAAAAAACAAAAACTGAGCAGGAAAAGAGAGCACATCAAAGTAAGGGATGCAGTAGACTGGAGAGGATTCTGTCATCTCACCCTGATTTTTTTGCTGTGTAAAAGGAGTAGAGTTGTTCTCGTGGTTTGCTGGTTGGATGTGAGTTTTATGCACCATCTTCTGTGGACTATCTCTCTTGAACTGCTTCATCCTCAGGAGCACTTTGTCTTTCGCTCTTAGGCCGCTTTGAGGACTTGGCCCTGCTTCCTTTAAAGGCTCAGCTGATGGCCAAGCATCCCCTGACTGATGTCCAGCCTCTCCATTGACCACACGCGTTTCTCCTCCACCATCATCGCCAGCACCAGCAGCAGAAGCAGGCTGCGTCCAAGATAGCCTTTTGATAGAGTTAAGAGCTTTTTTGTTATTTCTCCTTCTCTTATCCTCTTCGCTTGCTTGACTGGAGGTCTGCTTATCTGCTTTCCTCGCCTGTCTGGCTTCACCTGGTTTCTTGCGGACTCGTCTTAGATGCTTCGAGCTGAAATCTTCAAAATCCTGGTCCGAGTCATCCATTATACTGTATTTTTCTTCGCAATAAGAGGCTTTTACGATCACCCTGCAAAAAGACAACTAGTTTAAGCTGGATCCACTGATGTGAAACGATGGAGGGAAAAGGTTTAATTTGCATGTAAGTAAATTTTGCGCGGGTAATTCTGTATTCAAATAAAAACAGCGATGCTATAATTACATGCACACTGAGACAAATGGAAATAGTTATATGTGGCACAGATGTTTGACAAATCATGCCACAAAAGGTATGGAGTGAAAACAACAGCTAGCTACTTATGCTAGCACCTCTATACTTACCCATATTTGATGAATTAACTGTTTAATTTTCTGCCTCATTGTTTACAGAGGCCGCCGAAGAGTTTATTTTCATTCATTTAAAACCATATGTAATTCTATAGAGTTTTTTATTAACTAAAAAGCGTAGAAGACAGCAAACAACACTTGTTTTCATTTCAAAGCTACGCCCCAAACCGCTTCATTTAAAACTTCCGGTCATGTGACGGTGAATGCAACGAATAACTGGCTGCTGTCGAGGTCATGTGACTAAAGCGAGTGACTGGACGGAATCCGTAAATAACAGTTTAATGTAATCATTTATAAACGCTTTATTAAAGATTTCCAACACTTTATTATTTTAAACTAAATAATGATTTTTTAAAAACCAGTTTAAGACCCAGGCTTGATCAACATGTTCCTTAAAGCAATCACACTGCAGCAACTCAATGAATTTACACATGTCAACATGGTCAAGATGACCTGAAGCTCAAACCATACCACCACAATGGGAAAGAAAGGTGATTTTAAGTGACTTGGCATGCGACATGATTGTTAGCGCCAGACGGAATGGTCTGAGTATGTAGAAACTGCTGAGATTTTCCAAAACAACCATCTCTATGGTTTGTAGAGAATGGGCCGAGAAAGAGAAAATATACAGTTAGTGGTAGTTCTCTGGAACTTGTTGATGTCAGCGGAGGATGGCCAGACTGTTCCAGCTGATAGGAAGGCAACAATGACTCAAACAGCTGTTGCAACCGAGGGAAGTGGATCTCTGCACGCATGACACCTTGAAGCAGATTAGCTAATGGAGAAGTTCACAAAGCCTACCTGAGCACTGTTGCTGATCATGTCCATCACTTTATGACCACAGTGTAAAGATTTTATCCATATCGGATGGATAAGTTCTTTGTACTCAAATAGCCTCCACAGTCACCAGAGTTTGGGGATGTGGTGGAACAAGAAATTCACATCGTGGATGTGCAACCGATAAATCTGCGGCTACTGTGCGATGCCGTCATCAAAATATGGACCTAAATCTCGAAGGAATCTTTGCAGCACCTCACTGAATCTCTGCTGTGAAGAATTAAGGTAGTTCTGAATGCACAGGGGTCAAAACAGGTACTAGCAAGGTATGACTTATATAGCGACTGGTGAGTGGATAGGCTTTGATGAATACTGTTAGAATGTGAAGGCATGTAGGAAGCAAGAAAATTCAGATACATCGTATAAATCTGCAGAGGTAAATCTACAGTAAGATTTACTATACACAGAGGAGTTTATAGTTTACTTCTTTGTGTCTAAGTGTACTTCTGTGCCTGTAGTTTACACAGAGGGACAGACACCGACTCAGACATCAGACTTTTTAAAGAAAAAGACTCCAGTAATACACACTTAAAAGATCTTTCCAAACCTCATGACTTGAATTTGAGACAGAGACTAAATGATGTTACCTGACTGAAAATTTCATTACACTTTCACTTCTTAATGCAATTTATATATTTTGTAAATGAACATTCAGATTCTAACTGGCTGCTATATGAGTGTGACTTCACCAACTGGGCATCACAGCATATTTCCCACAGCCATTTAAGTGGCAGAGACTCAGTGCAAGACTTTTGCAACCAGAATGATCTCCAGAAGATCAGAAACATTTGTATGGAGTGCCAAACAAGCTGTCTTTTAAGAGAAAGAACCAGAACTCATATTTGTGCAGCTGTGTGGATGTGATTATGCTGCACCGGCAGACACACAGACAACTGCTAAATCATTACCTGCTCTGATGAGTCTTGATGCTGCCACATTCAGATTGTAAGGTCACATCTGGGACTGAAAAATTAACCTAAACACGAAGTGCCAAAAATTGTAGTTCCTCCACCAGCCACAAGGCCATCTACACTGCAATCGTGAGTCAGTTCCCCTTATATCAAAATCGCACCCTACAGATTTCTACACTCTTTCATAAGGACTGTTTTTTTTTTTTTTAAATAACTTACTTTTTTAAAAAGTTTAACATCTAAAATTATGGGTGTAGCCACATACAGCTATATCCATTAAGTCTGACTCCTCCACTAATGATTACTTTGAGCCACTAAGCAGCACTATCCTTTTAGGGTATTAATTTGCACCCACCTGCAATCCATCATTCCACCACTTCTGTTTGCAAAGAACAAATAAGGTGGTAGCCAAAACACAAACAAATGGGTAAAATCAGTGTCTGGATTCCCCTTTTATGCATGTAGCCTTTGCTACATGCAGCATTGTAACAACTCTCGATGCTGATGGTGGTTGAATGGTGTGGTGGATGTCTTATTGGACTGCTTAGCACCAATCACCCATTATTTATATGGTACAGCCAACCTGAACTACTGTTGCTCGTTATGTCCATGTCTTTATGACCAGTATTTCCGTCTTCTAATGGCTATTTTAGCAGGTTAATGCACATTATAAAGCTCTTATAATTTGAGACTATTTTCTTCTAAATGACAATTACTTTAGTGCACTAAAATGTACTTAACAGGTTTCACAGACCATTGTGAATGTGCTGCACAATGCCGTCATGTAACAAATGTCTCCGAGGAATGTTTCCAGCAACTTGTTCAATCTAAAACACTAAAAAAATTAGCAAATGTGTACCTGACATAGTGGTTAAAATGAGTATTTTCTGTAATCGCACAGGTTCTCACTAGACTTTTTGTAGAGCCTAGCAGGTTACTTATTAATGCTTTGCACTTCGACTGAAAGAAGGGGGTCTTACATTCCTGCTAATAATAAAACCAAGTGCCAATTTTTGCTGACAATAGTCTGGCTTTGGTGGAAAATGCATGAATCCGGTTCTAGTTCAGGCACCAGATTCACATGGGTGGAAAAGAGGCATCGGTCACTATTTGTAAAGTGCTGCATCGATACATATCATTTTACTAAACACAACAATTCAACTCCATCTTTTTAAAAGCTCAGGATGAGGACTAAAGTTAAAATAAATGTTTTTTTAGGTGACATGAAAACCGAACAGTCGTTGCTGGTAATGTAACACCGGAAACAAATGAATACACACCAACAGGAGGAAGTGGTGCCTCATTATTTAGTCAACAGAGTACTGGAGTTCTTCTGTTGCACACAGTTTATTTAACAATATGGTATATAAGTAAGAAATGAGTCTTTTACCAGTTTATACAGTGATTTCATTTGCTCTTCCTTATATCTATAGTATTTTGCTTAACTTGATTTACAATAGGAGAAAAAGTAAATCCCCCTAATTCAAGTTTTTTTTTGTGAGAGGAATGAGGGTTGATGACATTTAGTTCTCCTCCAGGTGAATCTCAAATGTGCCCTTCATCCCCTGATAGCACACAACTTAGTGTAAAATTTGGAGAACTGGGCAGCATCAGAGACATTGCCTACAAACAACCACTGCTCATTCCACCTCAGCTTAGGGGGCTGGTCTCTTTCTCACAATCTCTTTACACTTTACAACATTTGTATGACAAAAAGTATGACAAATTCTTTTTAATGTCAAAGCAACAACTTTCTACACCTGCAAGACGTTTCCAAATTCCAGGCCACTGAGTTGTAGGCTGCAGTCCTTATTGGTGAACCAATCAGCTGTATATCTCTTAAGCCGCGTGTCCACCCAAAAGTACCCGGAAGTCGTAGTCACAGAAATTTTTGTTTCCAAGGAAATAAAAAATGTTTAAAAGGCCCGTGAAAATTAAGCAAAAGAAAAAAATTGGGAAAAAAATCCGCTGACATAATAAAAAGAGACGGCTGCTTTTACACCCTGGAGTTGGTGGTAAAGACGGGTACTCCAATCAGAAATGTTCAGCGCTTCAAAACCACCCAAAGCAGGGACCTTTTTGGTGGGGGGTTAAATAATTACCCCAAACGTAACTGAAAGTATGGTCCCTAGTCCCTGGTAAAAAGTTCCTGTGGTGGAAACGCGGCTTTAGTGACGGTGAGGGTTTGTGTCAGTGTCTTCATGTGCTCCTGCATACATGCCTGTTTACACAAACTGCTGCAGGCCATTTCCTACTTTAATACAAATGAGTGCTCTTCATACACACAAAAAGAATGGGAGCGGTCATTGTCCCTGAACGCATCTTCTTGCAGTAATAGTACAACACTAGATTACAATTGCCAGGAATGACAGCTTGTGAAGATAACAAAAACCTGGCCCAATTCAGAGACAAAATATTTTACAGTTTCCAAAAAAAGAAAAAAAAAAAAA